AGTGGGTCATCCCAGTCACGCGGCTTGTCCCACATGCTCTGGACGATCATTTTGGCGCGGGTCGTGTAAGGTGCAATGAATCCCAGGGGGTCATATTGTCGGGCCAGCACCTTGTAAACGTTTCTCATTGTGAGTGCTCCATACTCCAGAGGCCGGCTCTTGTAGCCTAAGGTGTCAGTCTCCCAGTGCCAGCTGAGTCCGAGGGCAGGTTCTGAATGTCCAGGTTCCTCGTGCGAAAGCCATCGCTCCATACTGCCGGACCTCGCCTCTGCAGGTAGGTGCCTGAGGACATCAGGTATGTTGCAGGCCCACTGTCTGATCTCAAATCCTCCAGATGCTAGCACTTCCCTGAGCCGGTCAACCAGCTCCTTAGCTTCATCCGCTGTGTGCACGCTCTGAAGACAATTGTCCACGTAGAAACAGTGTTCCACTGAATGCTTGACCCTTTCCCCTGGCCCTCCATGTTCCCTTGCATGCATTTGGAGAGCGAAGGTAGCGCAACACGGTGAACACGCAGTGCCAAACGGTAAGACCTGCCACTCGAAGACATCAGGGGGATTGTTTCGCTTCATGTCCCTCCAGATAAACCTGAGGAGCGACCGATCTTCTGGTAAGAGCTGAACCTGGTGAAACATGCCTCTGATATCACCACTGACTGCTACCGCATGTTCCCTAAAGCGCAGTAAAACGCCCAGAAGAGAGGCTCCCAATGTTGGTCCAGGAAGGAGGGTATCATTAAGGCATCGACCTCGGAATTGGAAGGAGCAGTTAAAGACCAAACGACTCTTTCCGTTATGGCTCACTAAGTGGTGAGGTATATACCACGACTCCTCTGTGGGTGAGGCTTCCCTTAAGTCAATCTTCCTAACCGCTCCAGTTTCCACCAACTTGCGAATTGCTCCACAGTACTCGTCGGCTCGCAGGGGGTCCCGGGCCAAGCGTCTCTCCAGACTTCTGAGGCTGGGTAGGACAGCTTCCTTAGGAGCTTGGAGCGGGGGAATGTCTCGCATCCGTAGCAGGGGCGTGGCATATCTGTGGATACCTGCCACCTGTACTCGCCTTGTCTTGGCTTCTAGGAGCTCCACCGCTTCCTTATCCTGCTTCGACCTCATTACTAGTTTACAGCTCTGGTATGGCAGTGTGTCCATCTTCCAGAGCATCTCCACATTCTGCATCAGCTCTGTTGTCTGAGGTGAGACACTTGTGAAAAGACACTGCTGGGTGCTCGATGCCCACTGGGTAAGGTGTGCGGGTCCTTGAAGCGTCCATCCCAGTCTCGTGTGAATGGCTGCCGGACCTCCAGGAGGGCCCATCTTCACCGGCTCGATAGGGTTAAGCAGATGGGGGTAGTCTGCACCAATTAATACAAGTGGCTTAACGCGATCGAATGCCTCGAGGGGGAGATCTGCCAGGTGCTTGTACTTCCTTTTCAAGCTGACGATGGGGTAGGAGTGGTCCGCTAGACCCAAGCGTTGAGAGGTGAAGGCCTCCACTATCCGAAATACTCCCTTGGGATTAGTAGAGGATGAGATTTTGAACGAGACAGCAGCACCCTTCAGAGTTTGGACTTCCTGCCTAATCGTGCGGAGAGCAAGATCCTCAGGCTTCTTCTGCAGGCCTAATTTATCAACTGCCTCGGGGAGGAGCATTGTGCGCTCGGAACCATCGTCATGAATTGCGTAAGTGTCTAGTGTCCTGTCTCTATTGCGCAGGAGAACTCTGACGACTTTCAACAGAACACGAGAGTGGGCCGATGGTCTGTCCAGGTAAAGAATTTCTGTACCGGTACTTACCAGACAACTTTCAGCCTTTGGCTGCCCAGCCTTAGAGCGTACGTTGGCGTCATGCAGAACTTTCAGATGTTTTCCTTGGCACACATCACAAAGCTTCTTGAGGTCACATTGGGCCGCTTGATGTGCCCTCCCACATCTCCAACATCTCCTATTGACTCGGATCCACACTATGACCTCCTCCCTGGTGAGTTTCTGAATATCAGGACACTTATTTAAGAAGTGTTCTGTACCCTCACAGTATGGACAGTAGGGTTTTGCTTTGCTCTTCCATCTGGCTGTAGATGTGCTCTGACTCTCTTGTCTGGTTGCTCGGTTAGACGAATAGCCCTCTGCTCCGTGTAGCACTGTAGCTGCTGGCTTGCCGCGTCGCTTATCGGCTCGGTATCCTGCCAGCCCTTGGATACGGATGTCTGAAGGGTTGTCGTACCCTTGGCACCAAGACTCGTATCGAAGCCATTCTGCCAGGTCGAACAGCGTATGAGTGTGTCCAGGACGATGGAACATCTGACGCCTGAAGTTCGCTCTCATCTTCATCGGAAGCTTGGTGAGAAGTCTAGCCACATGTGAGCCACACCTTAGCTCAACTTCTCCATCTGGGCCCAGTGTCTGTAACATACCCACGAGTGACTGTACATGCAGAGAGAACCTCTCAAAGGCAGCTACATCTCCTCTTCTGATCTCAGACGAATCCATCACTGCAGCTATCCTCTGCAAGGCTACATGGTGCGGCTGGCCGAACTTCTCTGTCAAGGCTGCCATGGTGTCAGAGTATGGCCTAGGCGAGTTAATGAAGGAGTCAGCAAAGAGACAGGCCTCTTCAAGTTTCATGTGATCCACCAGAATCTGATACTTAAAAAGCTCTGTAGCATCGGCAGGTAGCAGGTTTGCTAGGGCTAGTTTAAGCCGAGAGAACTCCATCGGATCCTTACGGACAAAGAAAGGAATTCTTGGCGCTGGCCCCCTGTACTCTCCTCCTCCCAGAGTCACTGAGGCTGGCGAGAACTGTCTGCCTCGAGCAGGGTGTAGTTGGCTCGGATCAGGCCTGGCTGGGTACTGAGTTGAGGATTCCGCATCAGTGCGATACATACTGGGCTGCGGACGTGAGATGGGCATGTAGGGTGCTGGCCCCGGGGTGTAGGACCGGGTGTGGTGCTGTTCGGGACCTTGTTTAGGCTGAGGGTGGTTCCAGCTACAAGGGGTAGACTGTGGTCGAGTGTGGGCTGTGACGCTGGAAGTCATACTGTCCCTCATTAGCTGTAACTCGCTCATCATTCGGTCTATGACGGTAACCACCCGCTGCTCCTCGGCAGCCACAGGCGGTGGAGGAAAGTCATGCGAAGGCCATGGTGGAGGTGGCAATCCCTCTTCATACTCCTCTTCCTCAAGCACTAATGAGTCACCCGGTAATGGAAGGGGTGGCACCGGCCATGGCTCTGAGGGCGGATCCTGCTGCGCTGCTCCTAGCACTCTGGCTGAGGCTGTTAACTCACGCGATTCCCTTCTGTTATCATGTGGTGAGGCGAAACTGTACTGCATGCTCTCTCCGTGTAGCCTGCTCGGTTCATCCTCCGTGTAGGGCATAGGGGTATGTGGCCATCCTAGGCTTGGGATGTTAATGCTCTCCTCAAGGCTTGTGGAATAATCGTCCTGTGCATTGGGGAGCCTACTCCACTTCACATGAGGCTGCGAACTCCACTCATCCCCTCTAGGCGTGTGTGGTACCGGGCTGACATGTGGTGGGCCACTTATCTTTGGTCGCACTGCACTGACCTCATAATCCCTCAAATACAATGGCTGCCTTAAGTGCCGTCTGGGCCTAGAGGATGGGGCCCACGATGCTTCCTCTCTCTGTTCCATGCTCCCAGCACAGCTGCTATCCGGCTCGAAGGACCACAAGTGTAGTGAAGACTACCTTGATATATGATAAGGACTGGTTTCAGGTGTGTTTAGCAGTGTACTAGGTGTGTCGGTCAGAACACAACAGAGATACAAGTGATCAACTTGAACTGGTTTATTATGACAAGGATATCAAGATGAACATCAGAGGGGGGAGTCAACCACTAACATAGACCCTACTGAACGTCCAGTGACGGAGGAGGCGGCTTTGGTCTGCAATAGGCCCTTTGGGCTTTATGGGTGACAGTGAATTATCTGGGCCTTCTCTGGCAAAAGCAGGTTGTTTCCGGAATTCTGAGGAATTAACAGTTGTTACGAAGTGTGGAAGAATGTCAAGCGAGCAATCAATAATTGGGATGTGGGCACAAAAGGCACAGGTGGAAGAAAAGATGAAGTAATGTTGTTAGCTTAATGAGTAGGTGTTAAGTCTTGATTTGACGGGAGTGTAACATGAATTGTGCTGGTATTTTGATGTGGTTTCCCTGTAAAAGACAAAGAACAGCACTCTAATAACAGCAACGCTATTACAAATGACTACGTTAGCTCCGTTACATATGCCACATTATCATAGCATTAATACACAAACTATTTGACTCCTCCCCTCATACATGAACCATGCATGAACACAAGATATAACGTCATACTGACAAGCATTATGTTACTTATATAACTCACAATTATATCATCCATCGTTTTGTGGTTATTATTTATCAACATGAGTTATTAAACATTATAAACATCATCTATGAACACTGACGACAGTTATGAGGTATAACACGGGCGAATTGGCATCGTGCCATGGCCCACACGGACGTTAACTGCAACATTGCATCATAAAATCACAACGAACGTAGATCAGCAAACAGTAGGATTCCTATACTCACTCTTATAAGACGCACAGCAGCACAATATAGCCTACACTCGATCCGAGGCCAATAACCAATGTTATTCGTCTTCTCCAGCGCCCGTGCATGCGAACTGATATCTGAGGTGATATGCTTCGCTCCGTGAGGGATTATTAGCTTCCGGGCTCGTGCACGTCGCACTTTCATAATAAAAGTCCCAAAAGACGTTAAGCGCTACAGCGCTCTTAATCCTCTCAATGGTCTTTTCCACAGAACCGGGGTTACATGTGTAACCCTAAAATGTTTTATTTTTAATATTTTAGGGCTGCCAAAATTGACTGGTATCATTTAAAAATATTTAACATTGTAAAGTTTCTCAGCGCAGTTCAATGGCTTATTCATGTTTTGTACAGGCGAGATGTAAAGGTTTCAAATTGTACCGAAACTTCTGTTTTATTGTGCTCAGTGGTTCTGAATGGCCACAGCTTCTCAATTGAATCCGACCCAGAAGAGCATTCTCGAGACGCAGAAGAAAAACTAAAGATGTGTAAAGGCCTGACGCTATGTGTGTGCTACGCAGCCAGCATTGGTGGGACAGCCACGCTCACAGGCACTGGACCAAACCTCGTTCTTATGGGACAGATGAACCAGTAGGTACCTCACATTAGAGCTTTTTCACCTAGGCATGAGAGAAACATACCATATTACATTCTGACCTCTTACTTATTTTTTTAATAAGCATATTAAATCAACATTTGTTTGACCTACAGACTATTCCCAGACAACCCTGACATCATAAACTTTGCATCATGGTTTGGATTTGCCTTCCCCAACATGATCATCATGCTCATACTGGCCTGGCTGTGGCTACAGATTGTATTTCTGGGTTTAAAGTGAGTGTCATTTCCTAATGAATTAAACTCAGCTGGATCATGCTTATGCTATCATATAATATACAGTAGGTTATTCTAACATTTATTGTGTAAATGAAGCTTCAGAAAGACATGGGGCTGTGGGACGGTGAAGACAGAGAAGGAGATTGCTGCCTATAATGTAATCAAAGAGGAGCACCGGAGTCTTGGGCCCATGACCTTTGGGGAGCTGAGTGTCCTTGCCCTCTTCATCCTCCTGGTGGTGCTTTGGTTCACTCGTGAGCCAGGCTTTGTGGCTGGCTGGGCAACAAACTTTTTCAATGCTGAAAAAGAGTAAGGATAAAAACACTATCATTGATAAGACACAGAAACCATTTTAGTGGTGTTTGCTAAGGCAAGCATAACTAATACTATTGCTCATCATGAGTATCTTGTGTTACAAATATGAATGATACCTCAAACCATGCTGAGGAATGCAGATTTTAGTATGTTTTTTAAGCAATTTTAGCTTGTGTGTGTGTGTGCGCGCGTGCATGTCTGTGTGTATTAACTTGTAATTTTAAATACCAACCTACTGAAGTAGTCAATTCTGTTTTGTACCTTTATAATATACTAACAACCACCAAAACATGGTAATGAGATGTTAATGAGAAAGCCAGATGTAGAATCAAAGCTCATCACAAGTAGCTTTTTTTTACAAGCTAATGTAAAAACGTACTGTTAACCAATTAACAGGTTTTTACTGTGGCATTTTTACAGTCTCTTACCGTTAAAACTATGCCTATTTTTGTTGAGGCAACATTTGCAAGGACGCCATTCTCATTTTCTACAGAACATTGTAAAATAATAATACTTTTGCGAAGTAACATCACTTTACAATGTGGCTTGATTTTCTATCAAACCCTGCTTATCATTAATTGCAATGAAACACAATTACATATTTTGTGCACTGTGAAATGAAATGTCCTCTGATACCGTTTGAGGGTAAACAAACTTTGTTTTAAGGATCCTCCAAACTGAACAAAAACATGACAAAATAGACATAATGTTGAAAAAACATTAACATCCATTCCAGAATGACCTCAGGTCTATGGGCAAAATGCCTCTAAAATCAAACGAAGTAATGTAAATTTCAGTTGTCAATTTGAACCATTGGTTAACACACACAGCGTGTTCTCCTGTTATCAGCTGTGGCGTGTACCTTTATTTGTAGGTCAAATGTCCAGCAAAAATGTGAATGGAGTTGCCCCACATTGCAAACAACATTTGTGTACATTTCCTGATGACAGTCACATGCTAGGATTTTAAGGATTTAAAAATGTGAACTGAGATTCTCTCTAGGTGAAAGGTCTGAACCAAAAAAGAACAGAACATAATAGAATCTGCACACAAACACTTTTAAATTATCTGTTGTGTTATGACCTCTAACCCCTTGTTCAACCTCATGGCTCTCCTCTGTGCAGGTTTGTGACAGATGCCACAGTGGCGGTGTTTGTAGCTGCCCTGCTTTTTGTTTTCCCCTCTAAACCTCCGCGTTTGTGCTTCTGGAGAGCACAGAGCTTTGACACAGGTCAGTTTAACACCTGCTTAGCTGATGTCTTTTTTGACTATTAAGCTATAGTGTAGATAGTATAACTTAATTGATAGCTATATATATATATATATATATATATATATATATATACAACCCGAATTCCGGAAAAGTTGGGACGTTTTTTAAATTTGAATAAAATGAAAACTATAAGACTTTCAAATCACATGAGCCAATATTTTACTCACAATAGAACATAGATAACATAACAAATGTTTAAACTGAGACATTTTACACTTTTATCCACTAAATGAGCTCATTTCAAATTTGATGCCTGCTACAGGTCTCAAAATAGTTGGGACGGGGGCAACAAATGGTTGAAAAAGCAAAAAAAATTAGAAAGGATTCAGGTGGGAGAACACCTAGCAACTAATTAAGTTCATTTATATCAGGTCTGTAACATGATTAGCTATAAAAGGGACGTCTTAGAGAGGTAGAGTCTCTCAGAAGTAAAGATGGGCAGAGGCTCTCCAATCTGTGAAAGAGTGCGTAAAAAGATTGTGTAACACTTTAAAAACAATGTTCCTCAACGTCAAATTGCAAAGGCTTTGCAAATCTCATCATCTACAGTGCACAACATCATCAAAAGATTCAGAGAAACTGGAGAAATCTCTGTGCGTAAGGGACAAGGCCGAAGACCTTTATTGGATGCCCGTGGTCTTCGGGCCCTCAGACGACACTGCATCACTCATCGGCATGATTGTGTGAATGACATTACTAAATAGGCCCAGGAATACTTCCAGAAACCACTGTCGGTAAACACAATCCGCCGTGCCATCTGCAGATGCCAACTAAAGCTCTATCATGCAAAAAGGAAGCCATATGTGAACATGGTCCAGAAGCGCCGTCGTGTCCTGTGGGCCAAGGCTCATTTAAAATGGACTATTTCAAAGTGGAAAAGTATTCTATGGTCCGACGAGTACAAATTTGACATTCTTGTTGGAAATCTTGTCCTCCGGGCAAAAGAAGAGGGAGACCTTCCATCGTGTTATCAGCGTTCAGTTCAAAAGCCAGCATCTCTGATGGTATGGGGGTGAATAAGTGCATACAGTATGGGCAGCTTGCATGTTTTGGAAGGCACTATGAATGCTGAAAGCTGGATGGGCAACTTCGGTCCTGGAGGGCCACTGTCCTACAGAGTTTAGCTCCAACCCTGAAAAAATCACCTGTCTGTAACTTTCTAGTACTCCTGAAGACCTTGATTAGCTTGTTCAGGTGTGTTTGATTAGGGTTGAAGCTAAACTCTGTAGGAGAGTGGCCCTCCAGGACCGAAGTTGCCCATCCTTGCTCCCCTCCAGACGACGTCTATTTCAGGGAAGGCCTTGTGTATTTCAGCAGGACAATGTAAAACCACCTACTGCAGCTATTACAACTGCATGGCTACATCGTAGAAGAGTCCGGGTGTTGAATTGGCCTGCCTGCAGTCCTTTCACCTATAGAGAACATTTGGCGCATCATTAAACGAAAAATGCGTCAAAGACGACCACGAACACTTCAGCAGCTGGAAACCTATATTGTCACGGTGGGTAAATCCTATGTCTCATTCATGTCTCGTGTTTCTGTTGTTACATGTGTGTGTGTGCTGATTAGAGGGGCGTGGCTGCTCATCAGAGCTCATTCAGTAATCACTCATCACCAGCTGCAGTCTATCATCCCGGTCTATTTAATCTCACCCATTTATCATCTCCATTGTCAGATCGTTGTTTGTGATGTCCGGTGTTTGATCCCTCTACGTTCCAGTATCCTTCGTTGTTCCTGTCTGTTCCCTGTGGATGTTCTGGATTCGTCTTGTTGATCGTCACCTCACTTCACCTGCACTGTATCCATCTGACCATCGAGTCCCTGCGCCACTTACCTGCCTGTCTGTGGATCGTGTACTGAGTTTTCAACCTTGCCTGTCTGTGGACTGTGTTCTGAGTTTTCCAATAAATATTGTTACTTGCAATTGCTTCCGTAGTTCTTACGTTACAGAACGATCTGACCAGAAATGGAAGCAGCGAGTGACAATCCTGAGACGTTGGAGGATTTCGTCAATAACAGCAGACGGCGGATGGAGAATCAAGAGAGAAATATCAACGACACCGCTCGTGCTGTTCAGGCGTTAGTGGCGCAGGTGTCCGGGCTCACCCAGCAAGTCCAACAGCTGCGTATTCCCGCTGCGCCGGTCCCACCTCCGATTCCCCAAATACCACCAGTGGACCCCTCCCAGTCGGAACCACGATTACCAGCCCCAGAGACATACTCAGGTGAACCCAATTTTTGTCGAGCTTTCCTAACTAGATGCTCCATGCATTTCTCTCTCCAGCCCAGAACCTTCCGGGAGGAAAGAACTAAAGTGGGTTTTGTGCTAACGCTGCTGACTGGGAGAGCGGCACTATGGGGAACGGCGGTGTGGGAAAACCAGGAAGACTGCTGCACCTCGTTCCAAGCGCTCTCCGACGAAATGAAACGGGTCTTCGACCGTGCCTTGGGAGGCAGAGAAGCGGCCAGATTGCTGGCCGAGTTACGTCAAGGACATCGATCCGTGTCGGACTACTCGATCGAGTTTCGGACCCTGGCGGCGGAGAGCCAATGGAACGAGGAGGCGCAGTGGGATATGTTCCTGCATGGGTTGGCTGACCGCGTCCAAAAGGAGATTTATGCCATGGACTTACCACCGAAACTCAACGATTTAATCGCGCTAGCACTGAGAGTGGACGCCAGACTGTCTCGTGTGGAGCGAAGAGGACCCAACTACCGTTCTTCGGCGGAATCGGAGGGTCACCGTGCTGGAGGTGGGGACGCGGTCAGCCCCGTCTACGATCCCGAGCCCATGCAGGTAGGTCGAGCCCGGCTTTCCCGGGAGGAGAGGGAAAGGCGGAGATCCCAGGGCCTTTGCTTGTACTGTGGAGGAGCGGGACACTTTGCCTACAACTGCCCGTTAAAAGGCCCAGCCCGGTAGTAAGTATGAGGCTACTATCGGGTGGGATCTCCGCCGAGAAGACCTCATCGACATCGACTCTCCTTTCCGGTTAGACTCCAATGGTCCAACCACCGTCACGATTGTCATGCACTTCTGGACTCGGGCGCCGAAGGTAACTTCATGGATCACAACTTTGCACTCAAGCACCAAGTTCCCCTCAAACCACTCACCCATCAGATTGCAGTGCACGCCCTCAACGGTCAGAAACTCCCCACCATATCTCTGGTTACTGAAGATATCATCCTCACCACATCAGGCAATCACTCAGAAACCATCTCATTCTACATCCTGGACACTCAGCTTGCACCCATAGTTCTTGGTCACCCATGGCTCACTCGTCACAATCCCAAAATAGACTGGCAACTCAAATCCGTAGCGGCTTGGAGCAGCTTTTGTCATAAGTCCTGTCTTGTCTCTGCTTGTCCGTCTGTTTCTGTTCATGTGTTACAGGAGGAGACAGTGGATTTATCTAACGTGCCCACAGAGTATCGGGATCTGAAGGAGGTGTTCAGTAAGTCTCGGGCTGATTCTCTCCCTCCACATCGTCCCTATGACTGTGCTATAGAATTATTGCCAGGTACGTCTCCGCCTAAGGGCAAATTATATTCACTCTCTGTCCCAGAGAGAGAGGTCATGGAGAAATACATTTCTGATTCTCTAGCAACAGGGTTCATCCGCCCTTCCTCTTCTCCTGCGGGGGCGGGGTTCTTTTTTGTGGGGAAGAAGGATGGATCGTTGCGACCTTGTATTGATTACCGGGGGCTGAACAACATCACGGTAAAGAATACATATCCTTTGCCATTGATGTCTTCAGCTTTCGAGAGGTTGCAAGGAGCATCCGTCTTCACGAAATTGGATTTAAGAAATGCTTATCATTTGGTCCGCATTAGGGAGGGGGATGAATGGAAGACCGCATTTAACACCCCTAGGGGGCACTTTGAATATTTGGTCATGCCTTTCGGCTTGTCCAATAGCCCAGCGGTCTTCCAAGCACTTGTCAATGACGTGTTGCGAGACATGATCGATCAATTCATGTATGTCTACCTGGATGATATATTGATTTTTTCATCGTCTCTCCAGGAACACGTGCAACACGTACGACAGGTGCTTCAGAGGTTGTTAGAGAATGGGCATTTTGTCAAGGCGGAGAAATGCGTGTTTCATGCACAGTCTGTTCCTTTCCTAGGTCACATCATCTCGGTTGAGGGAATGCGCATGGATCCTGACAAGGTTAAGGCTGTGGTAAATTGGCCAAGTCCTGATTCCCGTAAGGCCCTACTGAGGTTTCTGGGGTTCGCCAATTTTTACCGCCGTTTTATTCGCAATTTCAGCATACTAGCCGCGCCTCTGACTGCCTTGACCTCCCCCAGAACGACGTTCAGGTGGTCAGACGCAGCAGAAGCTGCGTTTGCCAAACTGAAGAGCTGCTTCGTTTCAGCTCCCATCCTGATAACCCCTGATCCATCACGTCAGTTCGTGGTGGAGGTCGATGCGTCAGAGGTGGGGGTAGGTGCAGTGTTATCCCAGCGCTCTCCTTCAGATGACAAGATGCACCCTTGCGCGTTTTTTTCCCATCGTTTGTCCCCTGCCGAAAGCAATTATGACATTGGCAACAGAGAGTTGTTGGCAGTCAAGTTAGCATTGGAAGAGTGGCGCCACTGGTTAGAAGGGTCGGGGGTACCTTTTATCGTCTGGACCGATCACAAGAATTTGGAATACATTCGTACGGCTAAAAGACTCAATTCCAGGCAGGCTCGGTGGGCTCTTTTTTTCGGACGTTTTGACTTTACTCTCTCGTACCGCCCGGGTTCCAAAAACATCAAACCCGATTCTTTATCGCGCATTTTTGACCGTTCCGATCGCCCGTCTACTCCCGAGTGCATTTTACCTGAGAATCTATTCATCTCTACACTCACATGGGAGGTCGAATCGAAGGTCAAGAAGGCCTTAGAAGGGGTAACGCCTCCGACTCGTTGCCCACCGAACCGGTTGTTTGTGCCGGAGAGTTTACGGTCCAGCGTTATTCAGTGGGGTCACTGTTCCAATGTGGCTTGTTACCCAGGAGTCAATCGTACTATGTTTTTAGTCAAGCAACGATTCTGGTGGCCTCTCATGGCTTGTGATGTTCGCAGTTTTGTATTGGCTTGCTCAGTTTGTGCCACAGGTAAAACTTCCAATCGATCTCCGGACGGGTTACTCCAACCACTGCCGGTGCCTTCGAGACCCTGGTCCCATATCGCACTAGATTTTATTACCGCCCTCCCACCCTCCCAGGGTCACACGGTAGTTTTGACCGTGGTGGACCGGTTCTCGAAGGCGGCCCATTTCATTCCCTTGCCCAAATTACCCTCAGCCAAGGAGACAGCGGTCATTGTCGTTGACCACGTCTTTCGGATTCATGGCCTCCCGACAGACGTGGTTTCTGACAGAGGACCCCAATTTGTATCCAAATTTTGGAGAGAGTTTTGTAAACTTCTGGGGGCGACTGTGAGTCTGTCCTCTGGGTTCCATCCCCAGAGCAATGGTCAAACTGAGCGAGCCAACCAGGATTTGGAACGAACGTTGCGATGTTTAGTGTCCAAGAATCCTTCCTCGTGGAGTCAGCAACTTTCTATGGTGGAGTACGCCCACAATACGTTGCCAGTGTCATCCACGGGCCTATCACCATTTGAGTGTAGTGTAGGTTACCAGCCACCAATTTTTCCTAGTCTGGAATCCGAAGTCGCGGTCCCCTCCGCCCACGCCTTCGTCCAGAGGTGTCATCGCACTTGGACGAGAGCCCGTGAGACTCTACTCCAAGTGGGGGCGCGCACCAAGGCCAAAGCCGATCGCCGCCGGCGGAAGCCTCCCGTATACGTCGTCGGTTCTAAAGTGTGGCTTTCTACCAAGGATATTCCTCTCCGTTCCGTTTCGAATAATCTTGCACCTAAATTCATTGGCCCGTTTGCTGTCACCAAAATCATTAGCCCGGTGACAGTCCGCCTGAATCTTTCTCCAGTGTACAGGAGAATCCATCCCGTCTTTCATGTTTCCAAAATTAAGCCCGTCTTTTATGCTCGCTTTAATCCGCCAGTCCCGGTTCCCCCCCCCCCGCCGCGCCTCGTAGATGGGGAATCCACATATTCGGTTAATCGTATTCTGGACTCGAGACGGAGGGGACACGGATTACAGTACTTGGTGGACTGGGAAGGTTACGGTCCGGAGGAGAGAAGTTGGGTGCCAGCTAGAGACATTCTGGATCACTCCCTTATCGATGATTACAATCGACAGGTAAGGGAGTCTGGGAACGCCAGGAGGCGTTCCTAGGGAAGGGGGTACTGTCACGGTGGGTAAATCCTATGTCTCATTCATGTCTCGTGTTTCTGTTGTTACATGTGTGTGTGTGCTGATTAGAGGGGCGTGGCTGCTCATCAGAGCTCATTCAGTAATCACTCATCACCAGCTGCAGTCTATCATCCCGGTCTATTTAATCTCACCCATTTCTCATCTCCATTGTCAGATCGTTGTTTGTGATGTCCGGTGTTTGATCCCTCTACGTTCCAGTATCCTTCGTTGTTCCTGTCTGTTCCCTGTGGATGTTCTGGATTCGTCTTGTTGATCGTCACCTCACTTCACCTGCACTGTATCCATCTGACCATCGAGTCCCTGCGCCACTTACCTGCCTGTCTGTGGATCGTGTACTGAGTTTTCAACCTTGCCTGTCTGTGGACTGTGTTCCGAGTTTGCCAATAAATATTGTTACTTGCAATTGCTTCCGTAGTTCTTACGTTACATATATAAGGCAAGAATGGGACCAAATTCCAACACCAAAACTCCAGACACTCATAAACTCGATGCCCAGACGTCTTCAAACTGTTTTGAAAAGCAGAGGGGATATTACACCATGGTAAACGTGCCCCCGTCCCAACTATTTTGAGACCTGTAGCAGGCATCAAATTTGAAATGGGCTCATTTATTGGATAAAAGTGTAAATTTTCTCATTTTAAACATTTGTTATATTGTCTATGTTCTATTGTGAACAAAATATTGGCTCATGTGATTTGAAAGTCGTATAGTTTTAATTTTATTCAAATTTAAAAAACGTCCCAACTTTTCCGGAATTCGGGTTGTATATATACCGGTATATATATATTAATATTTGTTGGTATCATTGTTCAAATCTTGTTTTTCCACATTATCTGAATACCCCCCCCCCCCTCCCCCCCCTCCCCCTGCTGTTGTTGTTGCTGCAAAATAATCATGTCTTTTCTGTATTTTAATGACATTAAGTAGAGTGCTGTTGAGAATTTGTTGATTTTTTTTTTATTTTTATTTTTTTATTATTATTATTATAAAAAAGTCAATGAAAAAAAGTTAATAAATAAATATGACTGTGGTCTATGTCAGTGCCCCAGCAAGACAGTGGCCCGACTCCAGCTTTGCTGACATGGAATGTGGCACAGAAGAAGATGCCCTGGAGCATCATCCTGCTGCTGGGAGGAGGCTTTGCCCTGGCTAAGGGCAGTGAGGTACAACATATGCTTTTCAAAATCTGTCTTTGTGTATTTGATTGAGAGTATATTTGTATAGCCCTTAGTGCTTTACCACAGAGCAAGTTTTAGGGTTGGGCAATATGACAATAATAATGTTCTTCCAAAATTTTGATCTAGTATGTTGTATTTATAGTATGGTCTGTATTGTTCTATTAAAATATTAAAATATTGCTTTTGTTTAATGCAAAAGGCTTAACGATTCCTAAAAAAAAAAGTCTGATGTTCAAAAGTATTTATTAGATTTGTTCTCATAGTATATTAAGTCTCTTTAACTACTATACAGTATATTAACATTTTAAATTAATAATTTGATACAATGCATTTATTGTCTACATACGTGTTTGAACATTGTACTTATATTTAATAAATACCTGCATGTAATGAAATCTGTAATTAATTCTGTAATTCATCCGTAATGCAGAATCCCTGACAATATTCAAAAGACAGCTGAAAACTCATCTCTTCCTTGACTTAAAGGAATAGTTCACCCCAAAATGAAAATTTACTTAACCTCAAGCCATCCTAGGTGTATATGACTTTCTTTTTTCAGATGAATACAATTGGAGTTATTAAAAAAATGTCTCGGCTCTTCCAAGCTTTATAATGGGAGTGAATGGAGGATGAGATTTTGAAGTCCAAAAAAGTACATCCATCCATCATAAAAATACTCCACATGGCTCCGGGGGTTAATAAAGGCCTTCTAAAGCGAAGCGATGCGTTTTTGTTTAAGAAAAATATCCATATTAAAAACTTTATAAACTAAAATGACTAGCTTCCGACAGACGGCCGTACGCATCGATTTACGACGAAAGAGTGACCTCTGACCTGACGCATGACATACCGATGAACGTGGAAGCACAGAGGATAGAGCAAAACACAGGTCACAAATTAGAAGTTTAAAACGAAATTTTTTATAGAGAAATGTCAGAGGATTTCGATCTAATAGAAGAGGAACTTGAGTTTGTTGCCCAGCCCTAATTGTTTGAACCGCAAGAGATGTCAAAGCTTACGCTACTCCTACATCCTACGTCATACATCGTGTCAGGGGTTCTTTTGTCGTAAGTCAGCTTGCATAGGCCGTCTGTTGGAAGCTAGTTATTTTAGTTTATAAAGTTTTGAATATGGATATTTTTCATACAAAAACCATCGCTTTGCTTCAGAAGGACTTTATTGACCCCATGGAGTCTTATGGATTACTTTTATGATGGATGGATGCACTTTTTTGGACTTCAAAATTAGCACCGCCATTCACTACATTATAAAGCTTGGAAGAGCAATTCCATTTTTTTTTTACTTATTGTGTTTGTCTGAAAGAAGATAGTCATATACACCTAGGATGGCTAGAGGGTGAGTAAATCATAGGGGTAATTTTTATTTTTGGGTGAATTATCACTCATCATAAAATAAATGTATGCTTGCACTTTCCTTGAATCCCTCCCTATTCTTGCTCTTGCTACTTTAAGCAATGTCTGAAACTTTGTATTATGAGCACTCTCTTGTATTTGCCTCTTTATGGTGAATCCCTTGCTGTATTCCTCATTTGTAAGTCACTTTGGAATGGATAAAAGCGTCTGCAAAATTAATAAATGAAAATGTAGTAGTTAAAGACACCTAATATAAAGTGTGAACAGAGATTTATGTGATGGTTTTGTTCTAACCAAGAGTGTACAATTCTCGAACACTATCAATAAAGAGACAACAATTTGTCTTTGGTGATAAAAAAAAAAAAAAATCCAGTTGGTAAAGAGACTGATCCAAGATTAACATTTTCCAAATGCAATTTGCAGTCATTTACTCAACAGTGTAGAGAAAAATCAGTATGGCTTTTATTTCAATTAGTAACATCTCTGATTTCAGGCAGGATCACTTTATTGTGATGTTGTTCCTTAATGTGGTTGAAAATTACTTATATCGTGGTAAATATTTTGGTCATATCACCCATATCTTAGTGGTTTAACAGGGAGCTGCTTGAAAGCCAACACATAATGCTTCAATGAGAGGAGATGAGAAAGACTAAAGATAACCTGCAGTTCTTAATTAAACACCATATAAAATGTCAGCTTCAATCGTCATGCCTTCTGTTTTTGTTTACTTTTATCTGGGTCAATGCTCAGGTCTCAGGGCTGTCAAAATGGCTTGGAGATCAGTTGTCGCCTCTTCAGAGTATTCCTCCCTGGGCGATTGCCATTGTCGTGTGTCTGATGATAGCTACCTTCACTGAATGCACCAGCAATGTTGCCACAGCAACATTATTTCTGCCTATACTCGCATCTATGGTACGTACGCATCTAATATTCTATATTCTTAAACTGTGAAGCTCACAAATAAATAAATGCATGCTCCTCATACACCTTTGTAGTCGCAGAAAGGTGCACAGGACGCAGTCAATAAAATGGAAAGAAAGTCTGCAGGCATTTATGGAAATGTCTGACAAACTTCTGACCACAACCAGTTTGCATGACTTTTTCTCATTTTTTTTCTCTCCAATAACTAAGTACTGACATTCAGTTTAGGCCAAAAAGTCTAAGATCACTGGTCAGTTTTGTTTTAAAGTCCCCATGATTTTTTTTTTAATGTCTTTTAGTATAAATATGTTAGCCTAACTGTCATCTATTAGCTAGTGTGCTCCAAAACAGTGACAAAATTCGCATTTAGAAGATTTAAGCATTCAAAACGTACAGTCTCACATCAGTCAATGTGGATCAATGGTTTTGATGACATATAACGCTGCACTTCAGAGTCTCATCAGATTTGCTGCCCAATGAAATGCTCTCTAGAATCTGAAGCGTCCCTTCCCCTATAAATAGACACTGAAGCTGCAGCTGAAATCGGTCAGTTGTTCACACATTTACTACCTTTTCTACAGTGCACTTTTTACAGGGGATAGGGAACGATTCTGACAGTGTAAATATGCTTTCCATTGGAGCGAATGAGGTCTGGTTTCACTATGTGTCACGCGAATCGCCACAGCGCGAATGTTACCGGCCCCAGACCTAGGGGTAATCTGGACCGGTCCGGCAGAAAAGGTTACACAGGCTAGGAAGCACGGTGTAGCCACTGTGGATTAATAGAGAGAGAACCAAAGTTAGCGTCTTGCTCAAGCCAGAGCTCGTTTATTTCTGTCACATACAGTCACAGCCACATTATCTTCACATCTCAACTTAAAATGCATGTTAAACTAATACTAAACATTTCACAAATAAACAACAAATGACATAACCAACTGACAATATACAATATATAAAGCATTCTCCCTTACAGAAAATAAGTACATATGACATCAAAATAATTGAACAGATCTTCCACATAATCAAAATTGATTTAGCTCAAAATACTAATATGTAACAAAATAATATAACCCAACACACCTATTAACACATTACATTATATTTCTGCTAACATGAACGGTAACACTAGCATGAAATACACATACATCTTTCTACACATTTCTTGAACGTAACTCTCTCTTCCACTTGCACTTAACCGCAGCACGTAACAATATGGCGGTACCACGACACACTAGCGTGACCAGCGATGTGAACTAGTTTGAATATGGTATCTTTCCCCTGACCATTCACTCACTACTGGCTGGCTAAAACTCTTAACAACGTTTAGAACACATTTCCGTCTGTTGCAGAATGTTAATATTAATTACTCACACTTACAAAAACTACCGTGTGAGACTGAAGTTCATGAAAAAACTTCTTAACGTGACGACGCTCGTCGGAGCAGTTAGCTACAAAACGAACCTTACTACACACTGTACACACATCTCGAAATCATCTTACAATACTACAGAACATTTTATAAGGCATTCACATTACATCCTGCTCTGCTGAGCCAGCGTGGCAGTAGGTACTGGCCTCTGCACTGTGTCAGGCACTGTTCATCTGGCTGCTGCATTTGAGCTGTCTCTGTTGCTTGTCTCGTTGGTTGGAACTCTGAAGCTACAGTACTCAGTCCATTGTTTGGTTTAGACTGGGGCATCTGGGGTTTGATCCTACTCCTTCCATACACAGGTATGGTCCTGAGGCAATATGTGTATTCCTCCTCTTCATCATAATGTTCAGACTCCTGCTCTACTGTCTCACTGTTGTTTGTCTGATTGTCTCTCTGTTTTTGTCTTTTCTTGGGTGCACGCTGACTCTGCTCATCTTGTTCTAAGGGCAAATCATTAACAGGTAGCAGAAGGTTACGATGGAGGACACAAAGGGTTCGATCCCCTGTCTCTGCCTGAACTCTGTACACAGGTCCGTCTCCGATCTTTTCAACAACACAATGGATTCTCTTCTCCTAGTATGCACAAAGTTTACCAGGGCCACCCCTTTCTGACAGATTTCTGACAAGCACCCAATCTCCAGGCTGAAGCACAATGCCTTTAACATGCCGATTATAGTACTTCTTCCCCTTAGCTGAGCACTTTTCACTGTTATCTGAGGCGATCTTGTATGCCTACTGCATGCGAGAAGCCCATTTCTGTGCATACTGTTGTCTGGACTGTGGCTCTTGTTCAGGCTTTAAGTCGAAGAGCAAATCCACAGGCAAGCAGGGAGCTCTCCCATATAGAAGAAAGAACGGTGAATAGGCTGCTCCCTCGTGTCTTGTACAGTTGTACGCATAGACTATGTGGGGTAGGTGGTCCTTCCATTCAGCCTTTTTCTCTTCTTGCAGTGTGCGGAACATCTGTAGAAGTGTCCTGTTAAGACGCTCAACGGGATTCCCCTGCGGGTGATAGGGGGTGGTTCGAGAATGAGCAATTCCTGCCAGCTGCTGAAGTCTCTGGAAAAGGCTGTTCTCGAACTCCTGGCCCTGGTCATGATGTAGCTTTTCAGGGTACCCGAAGCGTGGAATGAAGTCATAAAAGATCTTCTCAGCTGCTGTTCTGCCGGACTTGTTCTTGGTCTGGTAGGCTTGTGCAAAGCGAGTAAAGTGATCGATCAGGACTAAGATATACTCGTAGCCACATTTACTTTGTTCAAGATGGAGATAGTCCACAGAGATGAGCTCAAAGGGGGCACTGGTTGTTATTGAACCCATAGGTGCTCTTTCTGGGATACAAGGCCGCTTCTGTTTGACACACTGGCACTGACTAATGACGTAGTTTTTCAATTTCACGTTGCATGAAATGCCAATAAAATATTTCTCTCGCCAAATGGATGACTTTATCTGCGCCAACATGCCCCATGTCGTCATGCAGATGTTTCAGCACGGTTGACTTCAGCTTACTGGGGAGGACCAACTGTTTCCGTTGTCCTATCTGCCTGTACAAAATTCCTTTATCAAGTATAAGTCTGTTCCATTCATGGATTAGTCTGCGTGTCCCTCGCCCCATTTGTCTCTTGTCTTTATCATTTGGATTCCATCCTCTTTTTTTTCAAGTTTATCACCTCACAGATTGGAGCATCTTCCTTCTGAGCAGCTCTAACATTTTCTGGAGTGATAACTGGAATGGCTTCATGAGATGTGTCATCAGCATCAGCATCAGCATGCAGCTGCAACGCCGCCACCCATGGCACGTCACTGTCCCTCATGGCTTTGTCCCCTTGCCAGATAGCAGAGACTACATCTGGGGGCATTGTTTCTGTGTACTCTTTGATGTGGTCGTGAAGTTGCACTGGATATCGTGACAGGGTATCAGCATCTGTATTTGATTTTCCTGGCCGGTATCTTATGGTGAAATGGAAGTCAGCTAATTCGCCCACCCAACGATGTCCAACTGCGTTCAACTTGGCGGTACTCAAGATGTAAGTAAGGGGGTTATTATCCGTGTATACCGTGAAGGTTGGTGCGTAATAGAGGTAATCTCTAAATTTATCGCAAATTGCCCACTTCAATGCGAGGAACTCGAGCTTGCCGGAATGGAGATAGTAGTTTTTCTCAGCTGGCGTCAGTGTCCTCGAACCATAGGCAATGACACAGAGTTCCTTTCCCTGCTGTTGATAGAGCACCGCCCCCAAACCTTCATTTGATGCGTCGGTGTGAAGGACGAAGGGTGAATCAAAATCTGGGTAGGCCAGGATGGGTGGACTTATCAGCATGTCAACCAAGTGTGACAGCACTTTCTGGCTAGACTCTGTAGGACTTCCCAGTAACTGAAAAAGTGGCATGGCTATCCCAGAATAGTCCTGTATGAAGGTTCTATAATAGCCTAGAAATCCTAGGAGGGCTCTGACTTATCCTACATTCTTCGGCTCTCTGTCCCTCAAATGCTGGACTGCCTCGATGTCTTTAGGATTTATCTGGACACCTTCACTGGTCACTAGGCGCCCTACATACCTGACTTGACTTTTAAATTGTTCACATTTCTTAGGGCGGAGTTTAACACCATGTTCTCACAGGCGGCAGAGCACCTGCCTCAGGTCTTCAACGTGGCCCTGAAAGGTCCTAGAAAAGCAAAGCACGTCATCCTAGTATGGAGAGCAGCAGTCATCCCTTAGACTCCCTCCATGCACCTTTGAAAGGCAGCCGGGGCGTTGGTAAGGCCAAATGGGAGGCGGATCCACTCGTATAGCCCCCAGGGTGTACTAAATGCAGTCAGATGTCTGGAACTCTCACTGACAAAGGATGTGTCTGTTTGGTCGAGGTCGGAATGAGGTAGAGTGGAGCGCCCCTGCTGGTGCGATGTTGCATCTTCCTCCTCAAGAGGGGCAGCCTGGCTAGCTCCACCCACTCCATTGTCTGTGTCCAGCAGGTCCCTCAGCATGTCATCGAGGAGGAACTCAATTTCTCACTTTTTAAGTAGTCAACAATCAGGTCATACAGTTCTGGTTCACTCAGGTCATCAAGGTCGCGAGTTACACCGCCGTCATCAACTGAACTGGCAACTGTCAGTAGCTGACCTGCACTCAAGTGGGAAAGTGTCTTTGGATCTTAAATACCAGCGCCCGCCGTGTGGTGACAGTGGCCATTATGACGTGACACAGGTGGCCTCAGCTCTCTGGATGATGCACTGGATTGCAGCCTTCCCTGAAGCTTTGGACACATGTTCTCGTCCTTTTCGCACCCACCTCACCAGGCAATGACGCTAGATCCCGGACGAGCCCCCAATTGTTACCGGCGCCAGAGCTAGGGGTAATCTGGACCGGCAGCAAAGGTTACACAGGCTAGGAAGCACGGTGTAGCCACTGTGGATTAATAGAGAGAGAACCAAATTTAGCGTCTTTCTCAAGCCAGAGCTCGTTTATTTCTGTCACATACAGTCCCAGCCACATTATCTTCAAATCTCAACTTAAAGTGCATGTTAAACTACTGTAAAACTTCAAATAGTAGCCCGGGC